GCAATATCAGGTCAATGGTCATCTTAACTGCGAGGCACCGTAAAGTGCCAAGTACAAATGCCCTGCTGTTTCCCCCAAGGGATACTGCAAATCCCGAGGTTGCCAAATTGACTTAACGGTGCAGAGTTTTTGACTTGAGTTTGCCATCCAGTCCACACATTTCGACTACTTACGCTCGCACACGGAATCGGTGGCCACGTCCCAGAATCCATTTGGGCCACAGCTGATGCGGCTGTCACTCGGCTGGTACCCCGTGTCGCATTCCACGTTGCAGGTGGAGCCGGGGAGGCGCTGGCAGTCGGCCTGCACTCGGCCGTGTGGGAACGTGGCCCGGCACTGGATGACTGGAAGTTGGGCACAAAGTAAGGCCGAGTCAATGCCGTACTTCAAATATTCAAATATCTGACCTTCCATTTGAACCAAATATTCCGATTTAATAATGAATGAAACTTCCACACACTAGCAGAAACAGTTATGCATGTTTTGTGTAGTGCTCTATATCACTGCCTCGTCACATTTCAGGATAGGTGTTAATAAAGATGGCACCAGACCACTCAAACTAATGACTTAACCAGCACGCTGACTGTATCCCTATGCTTGTAAGAACCTCTCTGACTGACAAGAACGGGACCTACTTCCAGAGCAGGATATTCCATCCTGGGCCAGGGTGCTCCCATCACGACAAGCACAGGTTCGGCCGTTGGGAGTCGGCAAACACAGACTGGAACACCCACCATTGGCTAAGCCATCGATGCACGCATTGGAAACTGAAATTTGATAAAGAAAATGAAATAAAAGTGACAGTACTAAGACGGTCAATATGAAACTCCTGCTTTCCGAGAGCATGTGCCTGCGAGACAGCAAGACAGTCACAGTGACCCTTCACTTAGAGGGCAACGGAGGACACAACAGCTGACGAGCTGCAAAAACTCGGACAGGAGTGAGTTTGAGGGTGAGTCGCAAGACAACTAGGGCTATGCCGAATATCCGAATAAACGAATCAATTGTCGAATATTTGAACATTATTTTTCAAATTTGAATATTCAAATGCAAAATTCATGAAAAGGAAAAATTTCCTTTTGTTGTAAATGAGAAAAATTGCATTATGGAGGCTTGTTTCAAGCAGATTCAAATGAAAAGCGTCAAGAATCTTAAAATTTTAAAGAAAATTATTCATGAAAAGGAATAGAAATTTTCTTGTTCATCTCTTAAATCTTACTAAATCTTGGATGGAGATACTCCTAGATGTGAGAAGCTATTATATTGATCATTGTATACAATTGTGTGCATTATTGCAACTGATTTTGTATATGGTTTGTTCATCAACAATCGGCCGGTCGGTGCGAATGAATATTCGGATATTCGATCAAATTGAAGGTTGAATATTTGAACAGTGAATTATTCGAATCGACTCAGCCCTAAAGACAACAGGCGAGAACTCAATTTCACATCATCAACATTGCTACTTAAATGATGGCCTTCTTTGGCCAGTAAACTTCCAGATCTAGCCAATGGGAATGATTCTTCAAATCACAAAAGATATGGGAACTTTCTTTGACACTGTCAAAGCGATCAAAATCGTCCAGCAGAGTGCTTGCATACGACTTTGAAATTTCGAACTTCCTTCACGCCAAAAAATTTACTCTCAATTTGCTGGTACCCGCTGCCCTTTTTCATGAATGGAAACCAGTTTCTACTGATAACAAAATGAGCTGGTTCGGTATTTCTAAAAAGGTCAGGTCGTTTGACAACAAAAGCACCTGACATAACGTGAGTTCGAACACTTCCAATAAGTACAAGTTGGTGTATGGTCACGCTGACAACGCCCACCTTACACACGCATATGATGCTCTCCAATGACCTTTTCTTTTGAGCGTGCAACTAGCTCATTGTCAAATCTTACACACTGGCTTAGAGAGGTTTTTTTCACGACGGGCCAAAGACACTTCAGGAAGCGGACCGCGTCCATGGAGGTGCAGGCAGTTTCGAATCTGTGTATTTCTGTTGGCAATTTCATGTATGCCTGAACATTAAGAGATGTCGAAGGCGCGCGCATTTCTGCGTACATCTGTGTAAATTGAACACTGACCGTCAGAAATCATGTGACTGAGAATCCTCTGTTGTCAGATCTTGTGAACTGTAGTTGTCTAAACTTGTGCACTGTCGAGTCTTGCACCCTGAATTGATCGAGAGGATTTCACACTCATGAGATGGAAAGCAACAGAGAAGATTGGTGGTGGTCACTCACATGATGAGTAGTCCTGCCGGCTGTACGCAAACAGCCCGTTCAGCCGGGCAAAGTCGGCTGGTCCCGCTGTGCCGTTGTTGGCGCCTGTGGCCTTGTCGGCCCTCATCAGGGCCTTACTGGCCCAGTCGGACCAGTAGATGTGGGGGCCGTAGAGGGCAATGCTGAAGGGGTGAGCGGAGGGGCCCAGGTCCACGAGGATTCTCCGGGCCATCGTGGCTAGATCCAGAACTTCGATCTTGTCTGTCTGGGCGTCACACCAATACAGCTTATTAGCTGTTGTTTTGTAAAAAAAGAAAACGCCATCAAGTTACTCAGCGGCCACTCAGAGTTATGAGAGATTTACTTGAAACCCAATACTAGATTTGCATAATGACCCTCTGAGAGGTGCAATATATTAATACAGTATAAGAAGGTATGAAGGTTCGACGGTTGCAGGACCAAGGGGAAACTTGGCTTTTGATCATGAATATGCATAAGGTATGGTAACATGTAACATTAAAGTGCTATGGAAAAGGCTTCAAATATTTTGACATCTAAGGTTTTGGAGGCCGACTGGCCACCCAAAAGCCATTATACAACAAATTTCTCTTCTAAAAATCAACACGAGAGAAGTAATGGGCAATTTCTTTCCACGACCAGATCGGTGGATTTCGGAAACACGCGAGCTCAAATTTTGTGTTTTATGTTAGGCTGATGACATCATTTGGGAGAAAGGCACAAAAGGCATGCTTAAAGCATGCATGAAGATAAAAGTAAACAGACATTGTTGTGGCCCAAATGCATTAACATGAGGAGTTTTGATGACATTGCAGAAAATCCACAGTATTATGCATTAATCTCAAAGATGTATAAACCTGACATCTTATTCTTAGCGGGTCAAAATACGTGTGAGATTTGTTCCGAAATGGAGTACTAGACGTTGAAGATTGAGAGGAACATATTTTTCGTGGCATACATGTGAGAGAGCACTCGTGTTCATGTGCAGCGCGGCAACAGACTATTCATAGGATAACAGGGTCAGAGACTCAGGGTAGGCGACAGTACCCAGACCTGAATCTTGGGCTGAATCACGGGCTACCTTGTAATGTGTGCACACATGTGCAGCTTCTAGAAAAGACAGCAACCCATTTGTGGGCTTGTTTATTGACGAGTCTACAATGTCCAATGTGTCGAAGAAAAACCAGATAAACTCATACAGGATTCTTCGCGTGAAAGTGAGCGGATTCGATTCCTGTGAAAGTAACCATTTCGTCATCGATGAAGGAGGACGACGGCATGGAACCTGGCAGTGTTGCGGGGCTGCTGTTGCGGTCCCAAATCAGGCCGCAATCCAGCAACACAGCACAGCCGTCACCGGCAGATGCAACACAACACGGGCAGTCGGCAATTAAGGCTTATGCCTCACTTTTCTCAATTCGGAGTCCTCAAAACCCCTTGGCATATTATTTTTATCTGCGACAAGCGGGAAGGTTTAAAGTCAACCCTTAATGTGCTGTCTGGGAACGATCGATTCTACACGTTATTGCACAGAAACGGAGAGACCAAGTCTCAGTGTATAAGATTCCTGTCCGAAACTACAAACTGCACTAGACCGAGGTATGTTTGACTTTATGACAAAAACACCACAAATCTTGCACTTAAACTTGATGGATGGAACAATCAACATAGTGGACAAGAACCGCGCAAGAACATTGGATTTTGAGCATACCTACACCACGAGATTTGCGTGCAAGATACACACCGTCTACAACCATATCTCCTAGTGGCATTTAGGGGTCACCAGCATATCATCATAAATACATAATGAGCCTTTTTAAAATTAGCGAAAAAGGGACTCACGGAAGCCCATTTTAGGGAAATTTTTTCAGCCATAAATGAGAAACGTGTTCCATCATTTCTTGTTGATTTTGAAAGATGGTCTTGTCAGTTATTGTTTAAAGGTTATAATTGGGGAGAGAAGGTTTTCTTTTCTGTACCCCTTTAAAATATTGCACTCTCAGATCAATCAAAAACCAGCAAGTGGTGCCTCAGAAATGAAACAGAGAGACAAAGGAGTTTCAGATACATAAGCCTGATTTTTTGGACTATTATACAACTTTCAGACAGACAAAATATTAATAAGATTTCAAATATTTCAAAATCCACTCTGAAGAATTTCCCTCCATCAAAAAGGTGCGGTGTGAAAAGAAAATCAGTTTATCGTGTTGGAGGTTTATTACAAGTTGCTGAGGATGCCATCATTACGGAGTGAAGAAAGGGTTGCCGTGGTCAAGTCCAGTCAAAAACCCTTAGAGGTCACTACAAATTCATCTCAAGTTATCAAGTCAAGTCACAAGTTACATGTATTCCAGTGGATCGTTACACTAGCCTTTTTTCTCCACGGTTCATCCCTTCTCACTTGTGACTGGCCTTGAAGTGCGACTTGAAACTGACTTGCGAGGCGACCTTTGAATGGACTTGTGACCTGACAACGGCAAAGATGGTCCATCGCAACCTGCCATGGACTGGCATGCCATGTAAGGAGAATAGAAATTTTTGTAATTGTTTCATGCACAAAAAAAAAGACAAAAAAATTGGCCCGATGAGCCAAACTTGCTCGGAGTGGTCTTCTTTTCTCTTGGCCTGGATCATACTCAGACACACATCCTACTAGCGTACCTTGGAAGTCAAGAACCAGTCCGTTCGGCCAGCCAAGCGAGGTGTTCGCTAGCACCATCCTGTTGGTGCCATCCATCCATGCCCTCTCAATCTTGGCTACTCTGCCCCAGTCGGACCAATACAAGAGCCTGTTTGGGAAATAAAAAAAACCTGTCGGGGTAAATGCCCTAGTTGAAGATGAGGTTCAAGGTAAACTTTTACTTAAATCCATACCCAAACGTTGTGGCAGCGGCTGAACATACAGGTGTCTATGGTAGCCAAGGGCTGGTGGCTGAAACCATTTCCCATAGATACATGTGACACATCAAGCCGTAGCCACTTGATTTGAACAAAGAGCTTTATTAAATTACATCGAACGCAAACTCGCTATGCGTTTATGCACAAACCTGTGAAAAGCTCAAAAATATGTGAACAGCTTTAGCATATCTGAATATTTTATTCTGAATTAATGCATCGAAAAATCTGATGCGTCAAAAACCCACACACACACTCAGTAAATGAGCCTTTTTGTTTTGCTCGGTGAACACAGCTCTGCGGTCTGACTACTGGTCCAGTTCCAATTTTTACCCGTTGCCGGGGTCTGCCAGGATCGCCCGTGGGTGCTCTATGTCTGTCCGGACCAGGATCTTGCGATTGCTGCCGTCCAGGTGGGCCACCTGGATGCTGGGTAGCCCCATGTCGGTCCAGAAGAGGAGGCGAGAGGTGGCGTCGATTGTCATGCCATCGGGTGCTGCGGGGAGGAAAGGTCAGAGATCAAAGGTCAGAAAAAAACAAGACCTATTGTCAGTTCGTATAATAATGGGAAACTCAACTGGTGTACTTGCCGTAATTTGAGATTTGAAACTTTTCATGGTGACAGTGGCAAGTCAAAGTAATAGGTATGTGATGGTACCATGCCAAAAATATCTCTTTTGTGAGCGTGTGTGGTTCTAAAAAGAACCGGAGAGTAACCTTTGGTTCTTATCAGAACCACACACACTCACAAAAGAATTAACTACTGTAAACTCAGACCGACGATCTCCACTTTAGATGAAGAAGTTATGTATTTATAGCCACTTAGCTCTCGACCAAAATGTATGTAGTTACTCAAAAAAGTGCACTTAGCAAGTCCATGAAACTGGCTTATATTTTTTTTGCTTGACTTTTGAAAGTTTTCCTTGGAGGATTTCCTTCACTTACTTTCCACGTGTTCATGCGTGAACAAAATCTCTTGGGAGCCGTTGGAGATGTAGGCTCTGCGTATGGTGTTCTGCACAACGTCTGACCAGTACACCTGGGCAACAGTTGACGAACGGGAGAAAATAACGTCCATTGAGGAAAGGTTTCGCATCACTAATACAGTTTTTTAGGAACGTGACGATGTAGAAGTTCTCCGGGCATTAGGAGAAAGACAATGACATTCATCACAAGCCCTCTTTTCTAAATATTACATTTACCAAAATGTATTTGGGAGGTGTGTGGGGGGGGTATTGAACTAATTCTTCCGGAGTGGGAACTCCTCAATTTCCCCCTTGAATCAACCCTGCCCAAAGTTCCGTGACCCTCCTGTGAACCACTTGTGAACTTTTGGTCCTTACGAAGCTGATTTTGAAAAAGTGTTGTATTTCCAGATAATCTGAGAAGTCTCTGGGAAGTTTAATTTATTCGCTTTTTATTTACAAGTATTCGTCTGTGTTTCTGACGTACATTTTATACTATGTCCAGTGTTTTCAATACACTGTTTGGAAAAGATCTGGGCTCATCAAATCTCTTAGGTGTGAAAGACGTGCTGGCCAAACGTTTAATAGTGGTGTCTGAAAATTTCACTAAAACATTTAACGCCTTCACTGTGCACTCCCAACCTTACCTGTGCTGTGACCGGGTCGAAGGCCAGAGCCACCGGGTTTTCGATGGTCCTGGTGTCCAGTTGAAGGGCTGTGTATGGCAGGTTTGGGTCCGATACGTTAAACTGGAAGATGCTGTGCAGGTAGGTGTCAGAGGCGAATAGGAAATTGTCGTACAGAATGTCTGGAGATCGAAGAACAGCACGGGGTCTGATTATATTCAGCAAAAATTAGCAGGGAGCCAGTTAAAAGCAAATACATCTCACATGAAGTTTTAGCTGGTTATCCATTCTTGCTATTGAAACAAACTCTTCTCTGTGCTTTGCAAATTTTTTTTGTATTTGGTTGGCCTTAGGAATTGGGTCCAGGAATACTCGAAAGATGCTGAAAAGGAAAAATCTGCTGCTATGGCAAATGACGTGAGACAACATGACTCAAGTTGAAAGACGAAATGAGAGAATTCACGAACTCAAATTGCTCAAACTATTTGTACTTCACCAAATTCCTTTCAGTGCAAGATTCGCACTCAACTGAATGACACTCACTCCTCAGCCAAAATGATCTAGAATCTCACACTGGTCAAAATGAATGACATTCTTTGTCCTCCAGAGCAAACAGGCCAAGTGACTCATGACTCATGACTCGTATTCTAGACAAAGCTCAACTGAGTTAACCAAAACTTACTCAGAAACTCAGAGAGATTCAAACCAATAAATAACCTTATAGAGCACCTATACCCATAAACTAAAAGTGACTCACAATTCACTCTCCAAGCTGAGTTTACTCTCAACGTACTGACTCAAGACTTGCGTTCAAAACAAAGTTAATCATGAGTTTGAAAATATGACTTAATAGCAGAAATACACCAACATTTGATGTTATTTTCATATTTATGTCATTTTAAAATACTGTTACACTTTTTAATACATTTGCGATCACACATTTACTGAGCATTTACTGAGCATGTGAAAAAAACACAAATGAAATTGACAACCTAAAATACAATCATTTCAACGCCGAGAATAATTCTTGAACACAGTGGTTATCACTGACCCAAGGCAGGAACGCAGGCACGGTTATCAGTGTGTAGCCGGTACCCGGTACTACATTCGCAACGCATACCGCCTGTTGATATCGGTAGGCAGAGGTGCTGGCAACCACCGTTGTCTTCACACACACCTAGCAAGGATAAAGACCAAGAGCACAAGCGACAGAAAAGTTCCCCAGTGAGCGACCTTTCGTCATTTTACAGCTTTCCAAACCAACAATTCTTCTGAATCAAGAAGTATTACTTTCATGACAACAGCTTCTCCTGTAGAGGAAGCAGTCTGGTCTGAGAGTCATTACGGTTCGTTGTTTCCATTAGCCTATCAAAGAGCATGGGTGACCTCATACACTGTTGACAACTAAAGCGTGCCTAGAATGTACACGCACAGATGAGGAATTCTTCCATCGCAAAATGTTGGAGGTCGGAGAGCAAAGGTTGCAAAATACTTTGGGTTGGCACAAAAAGCTATTTGCAAGTTAAATTTGAATAAAATCTGGTACACTGAGTAATGTGATTACACATAAACATAACAATTTGAATTCCCCAGACTAAAGACACTGTTGCTATACCTCATGATTCAGGACAAGCTTTTGCATAGCGACCACCATCTCTGGAATGGACTGGTTCCTTTGTGCCCTTCTTATCCATTGAGAACAGTGTGCTTGTTGCAAGGCGTCTTTTATGAAACTAAGCAAAAGCTTGCCCCGGATGACGAGGTATACCAACAGGGGTTTTAGTACGGAGAATTCAAGTTTTTCTATGCACGCAAATTTAAATAACTCAGTGTACTAGATTTGGGCCAAAAAAAGGCTTATTTGGTTGGACCTACTGTCAGAGTCTGGCTGCCGGTCATCGGAGTAGACTCGCACGCCATACACGGTCTCGTTGCTGACGCTGTGGCTTTGGACAATGCGACGGTTCTCCGTGTTGATGGCATGCAGGCCGTTGAAGGTGTTCCACTCTGTCCACAGGAGGTAGTCCTAGCACATGGATCAAAGCAAAAAGTCTCTCACGTACACGTATGTCCCTGAGCAAGCCATTTTGCCATGATTATCCTTATCCTTAATGGGCTCCATGCAACAACAAGCCCAATGATTCAAAAGGGAAACAAGCAATTGAGGAAACTTGAGCATCTACTGTCACCGTGTCCCAACGATCACGCGTATTTTTCGGTGAAGATGTTCCACGTTTGTGCACATTCCAGCAAAACTGTGCTCCCAGGCAAAATTTCACATCAAATCATCAAAATATTTTGTGCATTAAAAGCCTTGTTCCACCCCATCAGCGGCTACATCTGTCCATCTACGAAGGGACAAGAGATGGCGAGTTGTTACATAGCGACAACATCCCGTGTGGTGCGGAAAAAGCATACCCTGCATGAAGAGATTCGTGCGCCTTTAATGCGGCACGCAATGCGGATAGAATAAAGGTTTCCATTGTGCTTCGATCACAGGCATGAGCTCAACTGAAATACCCCTCTCCTTTGCCGGCGTGGGGGGCGCCTCCAGTCAGAGTCCGATGTCAACACGCATCAACGACTGGTGAAAACCCAAACCTGGCTCTGGACACAAGATTTGAAAGTAGCTTTAAACTCTTTCTGTATCTCTTTTTAGATGGATCCCTTGACTCGTACCTTGTGTAGGTCAATGTCAAAGAACTGGGCATGGTCACGGGCGTACAGGCGCGTTCTTCCGTTCCCTTCAAAGTCCATATGCTGGATGGAACCACTCACGCGATCAGCGTAGTAGATCCTAAAATTATGAACAAATAAGAGCCCACTCTTTACCAATATGTCAATATTGAAATATTCAGATTTCCCCCGAATACTTGTTACAACAAGAGAGGGACTTTGGGACACGTCAAACGTCAACACATTCAAAAATGGATTTTTGCCCTGCCCGATGTGTATATTTTTTAACACTGTATACTCAGTGTATGCCCCCGAAGGCTTGTGTGAAAAAACCACAAGTGTACTCGGGTGGGACTTGAACCCACAACCTCCTGCTAACGAGTGCATACACATCGGGCAGGGTAAAAATCCCCCCCCAAAAAATCCAAAATTAATTTACATCTCCCCAGCGCAAATCCATCTTTGAAATACACATTCAAAAGTGGGTTAAAAATCCGTCATCTGACAAGTTGAAGTGATCAGTGGTTAATATTCAAATCATTAGGCCAAAAAAAAAGAGAAATAGTCTGTCTCCGGTTAGACTGATCTTCCGGAATTGACGCGGCGATGCAGGATTTTTTTTCTCCTCCTCCAGGGTTGGATTGTACAGACCACTGCAGACACAAGTTGAGTCATGGGACTAGACCAGCTTTATTAAGGTTATCAGCTGGCCAAAATCAACTTCCTGTCCATAGTCTGCCGTCATCGTTCAACATTGATCTCGTCATGATCTATCGCCCTGAGTAAAAGATCGAGCTACCCGCAAAAATGTTGAAGCAGTGCAGCAATAGAGGGTGCTGTCGCAGTTCTCCCAGAGAACAAGAAAGCCTTGACGCGTGCGCTGACCAGAGACAAAAGAGTTTTGTGGGGATCTGAGCAAGGTGAATATTCAAATATTTGGCACAGCCTTTATAAACTTTCAACAAAACATGCACTGATTATTAGGTTGAACATGTAGCATTTTCAGCATTTTACTTTCTTAGGTTTGAAAATATGGTGTGCAATGATTTTTAATGGGATAACAGAGCATGTGAACCAGTGAGATGGAACTCATACATCTTCATTGGCTACCATTGATTTTTCAAAGAGTACATAAAGGAGGGACAGAGAACCAGCCGACTTTATCTCTGATAATTTCCCTGCGTGCATTTTCAACTGTATATAGAAGGACAGCATATGTGAACCAGCCAAGTAGTCCCACTTTTTAACTGGTTCCTGCTCCTTTTTTTAATGGACAGACTGAGAACCAGCTGACCTCATTGACTGATTTGATGATCTCCTTATATGTGTTCTTGAATGAAAACATTAGAACACTGCATGTGGACCAGCTACTTCTCAGTGCCCTCCAGGGCATGTCTGAACACCGACCATTTGTCAACCGCTGCTCCATTTTGCCTGGTGCCCAGGATATATTTTGTGCACGGGTTACCAGGGAAAATCAACCATTGGTTGGCAAATGGTCCACACTTGAACTAGTCCTCCAACTGCCCCTCATATTTAACTACACAGTGCCCTCCTTAGTTTTCCAAACGGGGTGGACACTAGATACGAATCGGTGGCTTACCGGTCCTCATCAAAATCAATGGACAGGCCGTTGAGTCCGTTGAAGTTCTCCAAAATGACACGACGGTCACTGCCGTCCAGGCTGGCTCGTTCGATTTGGCCTGGTGGTCCAAACTCAGTCCAGAACATCAGCCTGGGAGGACAAAATAGTGAAACATTTTTGACAACTTGGAGACTTGCCTGTTCTGTTGGAGAAGCTGCGTCACAGTTTTCACTCTTAAAATATATTTTTAGATTACAACTGCACTGATCATGAACAAGATTTCGTGGAATATGTGATAGATGCATGAGCATGAAGGCCATTTTTAGTAGTGCATTATTAGATTGAGGCTGCATCCGAATCTCTTGTCTAGAGCTAGGTCTAGGTCTTCGTTCCATTGGAAATGCGTGGAGACGCGCAGACAATAGACCTAGCCGTAGCTCTGGAAGCCCGTTTCGGACACGGCCTTTTTTTGCTTGCTTTACTTTTTTTCACAAAGCTAGGTATTTCATTGAGCTGCATTATGGCTGTAAATGGATTACAAATTGGTCGACGCTGAAAGTGGTGAAAAACAATTCTTACAAGTGATCAAGATCCAGAACTGAGGCACTTACTGTTCATTCTTAAGTTTCGTAGTACGTTTCGCGAGTCTACAAACATACCAAGTTTCAATGAAATTTGTCATTGCCTGGCTGATGCCTTACCTCCGTCCCGCATGGATGGCAATGCTCCTTGCTTTCAGCACGTTGTCCTTCACAAGGATGCGTCTGTTGCTGCCGTCGTAGCGAGAGACTGATATGTGGTCCAACACGGAGTCTGTCCAGTACAAGTTCTGGCTCAGCCAATCAACAGCAATGCCTGCAAGAGAAGCCCAAACAGTTTGTTCTGAGACCTTTGACATGCACCCACAAACATAATGGAAAAGCCATTTTTGTCAAGATTTTTTTTTCCTTTTTTCTTGTTCTTCTCCACAACATCCCGTTGACTTTTTTGCATGTTTTTTGTTTCAGGCGCTTTCTTTATTTCTAAGACTCGCATATTAATCAAACTTAATAGCGTATTACCAAATACCCTGTCCACGGATAAATGACCTCATGATGACATCATCACTGGTCACATGACATGTTTTCAAAATTGAAATGTGGTACATAGTCAAGCTGGGAATTATGATGTGTGTAAATTGGAATGACATCATGTCATCACAACGGTCACAAGCATTTTTTACTTCAGTAATACGGGCGATTCACAATAGAGCCCCTCCAAGAGTTTGCAACACGCTGACCAATCACATTTGGAAAGGGTCGACATATTTCCTGCATCGATTGGTCAATGCGTTGCAAACTCTTGGAGGCGCACTATTGGGAATCGCCCATAATGTTCAATGAAAACTGTTTCCCTTTCAGGGGCTACGGTTACTGAACTACACCACAGATTCAGTTATTCAGACATCTGGGTATACGGATATCCATCACAACCTTAACGGTAAAAGCTCGCCTGACATGACCTGACAGATCTGTCTGCGATTTTTAAGAACCTGTACCTTCCGCGCTGCCGACTCCGCCGATGACCAGCTCCACCGAGGCCCCGTCGACCAGCCGCACGCTCTGAATAGTCTTGTTGACAAAGTCCGAGAAGAACAGGGTCTTGCGGCGCACGTCCAGGCCCAGCGCCACCATGTGGGTGCGGTTGGCCAGGATGCAGCTGCGCTGGTAGCTCCGGGGCAGGCTCAGGTCAGGGAAGTTGCTGGGGAAGTAGCAGATGCTGTTCTGCGCAGCCAGCAGTATCTGGGGTTTCGCCAAGGAGGTGGTGGCATTTTCTAGACAATCAGTCAGGGGTCTTAAGTTTAATCATTGCTTCACAGTTATTAATATAGATAACCCTAACCCCCTCAAGGAGAACCAAAAACATATTGAAATCGGAGGATCCCAAATCCTCCGATTTCGATCCAATTTTCGAAAGGGATAGCCTTAACAGTCCCAAATCCTCCGATTTCAATCTGATTTTCGATAGGGATAGCCCTAACAGTCACAAATCCTCTGATTTCAATCTGATTTTCGAAAGGGATAGCCTTAACAGTCCTAAATCCTCCGATTTCAATCTGATTTTCGATAGGGATAGCCCTAACAGTCCCAAATCCTCCGATTTCGATCTGATTTTCGATAGGGATAGCCCTAACAGTCCCAAATCCTCCGATTTCAATCTGATTTTCGATAGGGATAGCCTTAACAGTCCCAAATCCTCCGATTTCGATCTGATTTTCGATAGGGATAGCCCTAACAGTCACAAATCCTCTGATTTCAATCTGATTTTCGATAGGGATAGCCTTAACAGTCCCAAATCCTCCGATTTCAATCTGATTTTCGATAGGGATAGCCTTAACAGTCCCAAATCCTCCCATTTCAATCTGATTTTTGTCTAGAACTTCTTATCCTCAATATTAATTCTGGATGTGAACACTTAATGCATTACTTACGGTCTTCCCGGTACACACATACATGTACACACCCACACAATGTACATGTACTGTACCCACTATGCCTTGTTTCTGCACACAGGTGTGTGAGTTTGCAAAGCAAACACACATACAGGTACATTGATTTGACAATGAAAGTTTTTTAATTAATACCGGCTTCTCGATAAAATCACAATTAAGTATGTTGTAAAGTTTATGTCTTGAATGCATTTACTACACAAATAGGCAACACAACCCCATGGGGGCCATCCATGAAGTACATACGCACTAGACTGGGCGGTTCCAGAATTCTCAGAGCCGGTTCCGGCTCCAGCTAAGAATCACGATTCCGAGTTAGAACGGGCTTCCAAAGATATAAAGAAAAACGTACGGTTTAATAAAACTCATTAAAAATCTGCCGCTGCCACATGGCGCCATTGCCACTCATGAATGGCACAAGGACTGGCTCTTGGTTTTTAGTGGGCTTTAAGATTATCCACAGAGGGTATTTCAATTTTATTTTTGCCTCTTTGTAGACTACTCATGGCTAGAATAAATTGGCAACATGTACATGTATGTACAGCACCGCTTCCTCCTGCTCTACAGTATTTTCCATCCAACACACATGTACATGTATGTATTCATTTTATGATCCAAAAAGAACAACCGATTTGCCATTAGCTAAGTACATATAATTTTACCCTTACACAAATGGAATCGTAGACCATGCCACGGCACTTAATGTATGGACTGGATCACATGTACTTCTTGAACATGCGCCAACGTACATGTATTGTAAATGGCCATGGACCATGTACAGACTGGTTATTTGCCCACACAGTGGACGCATCTAACTCTGATACATCCACTATTTTGTAAGTGGTACCATTGCCCGGGTCCATGCATGGAACCCGCTCTGCGCTATCGCCTATCAAGTGAGAGAATTTGAGAATCGGGACCCTTGCTAGAACAACTTGCTTAAAGGGTCTGCTCAGCGCTTCTGAAATGGCTCCCAGGCATGCAATAACCAATATGGCTTGGTACCCAGACTCAAGGGTATTTTACAGTCGATTTGTGTACGCATTTTCCCTTGTGTGGAAAGGTGCCCTGCTAAATGCACACCGTGCTTTATACACGCGAGTTTTTCCATGTACATTGTACATGCGGGCGCGGTAGGTAGGCCAGAGCAGTGACTCGGATTTGATGTTCGGAGTCTGATCTTTGAATGTGGAACCGCCAATTGTGGGTACCCGGTTCTTTACAAAAGGGGAGCCGCCAATTCCGATTTTTTTTTTGGAACTGCGATTCCACTCGGAACAGAGAGTACCACGCAAGCCTAGCCCTAGGGTGTATGTAAAATCGTATTGAAATTGGAGGATTTGGGACTGTTAGGGCTAGTATGCACCAAGGGGGGGGTTGGTGCCATTGTGTACACCATGCATACAGAGGGGTTGGGGGATTCAAGCCAGCGCGTACCATACGCAAACTGAAAATTGACTTTAGCAATACACTTTCTCATACAACTAACTACCACAATCAGCTTCTGTGCGTCAAAATTCAAACACAGTATTCTCCACTGTCCACCCTGCCATTTATCCTCCCGTGCCAACGCCCATTATTAGTAACATCACTCACAACACAAAGACCGGCAGCGTCTTCTGGTATTGTGGAATGTGCATGGGGGGCGGAGGTTGGAGCCACTGCATACGCGGGGGGGAGAGGGTCTGAAAAGTCAACATTTCGCATGTACGTACTTTATGGATGGCTCTAAGGTCTTTTCTAAATTACAGAGGGTTTGCACGGCTGCCATCTTGCAGGCCAGTGCTTTTGTTAATTTCCACAGGGTATGAACACAGGATGTTCCCCTGTGGTACAAAAGAATTGCCCTGCAAGATGGCTACCACGCAAAGCCTCTATACAGGGAAAAAATGTCGTACTGTACATGTACGTGTAATAATGATAAAAACAATATCAACCACTCCATTTAAATGGATTCAAGGCACTGTAATTATTATCCTTCCAGACGAGGAGGAGGTTTGGTGGCCTACCTAGCGAGCAGGACCTCTCGTCCGGCATCAGCACGTAGCCTTCCACGCAGAGGCACTTGAATCCCGCAGGATCACTGACGCACAGCTGTTGGCATGGATTGGAATCGCAGGGAGCTGGGAAAACAGAGATGCACAGAGTGAATAACCTTTGACCCTTGCTCCAGTCCAATGATCACAATCTCTTCCAGGCTTTTTTTTTAACAGGAAAGTTCCTGGATCGTCTGAAATAACCTCTATCCAAGAAAAATACTGACGGATGCTTCGTCCTTCAACTTCCACAGGGCATCAAATCAATTGTAAGCAAATGTTAAATTTGCACTTCCTCCTTACCTCATGCAAAATTCTCCAAAACTGGGAGTTTGACAACTCTAGACTGCTACGCGACTGACCCTAACTAACCAGACATGTTTCAAGGAACATACCTGATTCCTTAAATTTGCCCCAGCACCAGAAACTGTTAGCATATTCTTTGCATTTTGACCTTCCAGGGGCATCAAGTCCCATGTAAAGTAAAAACAGAGGGTTTGCGAGGCTACCATCTTGCAGGCCAGTGCTTTTGTCCACAGGGAATGCACAAAGGAAGTTTCCCTGTGGAACAAAAGAGCTGCCCTGCAAGATGGGGATCATGCAAAGCCTCTATTGGCAGTTGCATGCCAAAGTGGAAATTTGGTGATGCTGTTATCGACTGCATGATAACTGATCGTAATTTACGAACAATTTAAAGAGAGCTTTAAGTAAAATACTGCTATTGGAATTGTATTGAATTATTGTACTACTTATAATTTCCACTGTCATTTTTTTAAAAACTCTTTTCATTTAAGAATAACCTATGACAATAAGGTTGGTAACAGTGTCACCAAATTTCCACTTTTGCGTGGAACTGTCCTGTTTCTAGCTTGTACCCGATTCAATCCTACAAACTCTTCCCTTACTGCCTGGTGGATCTTAAATTGGATAAAAGAGGTTTAGGGTTGAAAAGTATTTTTCAATCCCAAATAAATCTGTAGATCGGCTTCTCTTTTTTGGACTGACTGGAGCCTTTTTCCAAATCACGGCATTGCCTCCTACTCTGACTTTATCTCAAGCTCCGCAAGCAGTATAAAAAAAAATACTCTAAACCAAAGCCCTGTGTTTGCCAAGCTGTCTCTGTCATTTGACAACAGAGAACTGAAAGATCTGCATGGGAGAGACTTCATGCGCAAGACCTCGGGCCAACAACAGAGGATGGTGCCAAGATCGGGACTCCCCTTTTTATTTCCTCTCGGCTGTTATTGATCTGGACTCGGACCAGAGCTCGACAAATCGGGAGGAAGCTTTAACCCTGGGAGTGCCCTGTAGCAGATCTGTGGAGTGTTGGCATTCATGGATCAATTAAAATATTGGATGAATGCATGCACTTCGTTCTCTCTCGATCAACTTCCAAAAGGCACGATGAGCAAACCAAGTGACTCATCAAAAGCTAGAAACAGGCTGGCTGCTAATTTAAGGGACACTACATAATTTTCTCTTTTTTTACTATTTTTCCAATTTTGGTTTACTGGTTATATCAGTACTATGTGATTTTGCTCTTGCGGTGATTTACATGTATTTTGTGGATTTTGATTGGTGATTTGGATTTTGATTTTTTTTAATTGACGTAATAAACTTACACCTCTAAATTGTAATTTGATGATTTCTTTTACCCTTGTGTAAATCAGACATGTAAAACTGTTCAACTTTTGTGATATTTTAATGTGTAAACCCTCTATAAAGCATATCTTTCGAAACTGTGATTGATCCGTTTCTCTTTTTGTTCCATCTTATGAATCCATGTGATCATATCTGTAATCATTTGATGTGGGCTACTGAAGAATTGCTGCTAATAGGATTACTCAATGATATCTGCCTGTAAGTCAACTCTCTGCGATTTCAGTATCTGTTTATGGGTTATGGTGCCAGTGAAGTTGGCACATTTCCAGGTTGAAAACATGTGTAGAAGCTGCATGTATGAAAAGCATAAACATTCATGTCAAAGAAACAGAGAGAAATCTTTTGAGTCCAGCAGACTGCTCAGAAAAGGAAACTGTGGTTACAGTTTCCTCAGAAATTCTTTACAGCGAGTATATCACTTCAGGTGCTATAAAAATACAACTGTACGACTCAATTACATCAACATAACTTGTGTGACTTTCAACCCTTGCTCTGTTCTCGTATCTTTACTTTTAAATCATTGAACACATTTGCAAAGAGGCAATTTATGGTGTGTAAAAATGATGCTCCAAAAGACAGCAAATTACAATATACTACATAAACCAGTTACTCTACAAAATACAATGCAGAGTTGCAAAGCCCAACCCAACCAAACAAAACCAAACCCAACCTAGCCCAATCATATCTAGCCCAAGCTAACCTACGCAGTCCAAACCAACCCAACATAACCTAACCAAACCCCACCCAACCAAACAAAGCACTACCCAACATAGCCCAACCCAACCCAACCTAGTGCTGCAAGTAGGTGCCAAGGTTCGGTTCGGGTTCAGTTTGGACACTGTACGTAAATTTTTTGCCGAACTTCGGTGCGGTTTGGGCTCGGACATGTACACACATGTCCATGTACAATGCACATTGAGACATCGAAGAGCTCACTACAAATGTGCCATATGTAGTATTTCCATGTACAAAATACGTTCACACAAGCAATAAATCTCCTCTTTGTCCTCGTCCACAAGCAACTTTGATGAGAACATAAGTTTTTTTTCTAAACTGTTTCCCCAAAGTTTGTATTGGAGTTAAAATTCCATAGAAAGTTACTGTCGGAGGTTTGACAGTTTCTGACCGTGTTTTGCTGACCAAAAGCAGTTGTATTTGGACCATGCTTGACTCAACAAAACGATCGTAGGATATGTGAAGACAGAAAAAACAGCATGCTGAAAATGGGCGTTTTCTCCTTTACAGGATGCAAGATCGAATTGGATTTCGAGTGAAGTGTGTTTTGGTTATTTTTCACAAAACAGATTCTACTGCCAAACCATGGCCTTCGATGTTTTCACAGAAGAACCTTGGTATCACGTCAGCATTCTTTCCCAGGACGGCGTCCATGTGGCCAAAGGGTGATTTTCCATCAGTCTTTTTCGAATGGATCACAGCATTTTGTTATTTGAGATTTGCGAACAACTTAGAGATCTGGCAAAATTCCATTACAACGTATTCACACTTATGACTTCGATCAAACATGATCAAACGAAAGGCAAGTGAGGCCATCATCGCCAACCAAGTCTTATCGTGCACTGGAGCGCTGCAACGGCCCACCTGGCAAAATCAGTTTTCCCTCCAGAATTGCCTTCGATCAAGCACGAGTCCGACTGTGATCAGCATCCAATCAAAATTCATTTTGCACAGCCACTTATGACATCACTGACCTAATATGCAAAGTAAGGGCATGGCTTGGGAGATTGGCAAACCTAACGCTAAATCTGAATAGACATAGCACAATTGTTGTGCAGTGGAAATGCTGTACATTACGTGTTTTCGGTTGATTGTTAGTGAATTCTCACCACATGCTTTTCACAGCCATCGCATGATGCGGGGCCATCGTAAGTTTACTGTACATGTACATTTATAGTACGCATGCGCATGCCATCCATTATCTCCTGGTATCTGCTTCTTTATCAAGTTTTCTTGTGCGCATTCTGTGTGCTACATGTATCAATGCCATGCCATATTAAAGCCAAACATCCAAATGGAACCGACCAGTTTGGTTCAATTCGAAAGTGCCATGTTTATTTTTGGTTCCGTTCGGCGGTTCGGCTGCAGCACTAACCCAACTCAACCAAACATAACCCAACACAGTATACATGTAACCAAGCCAAACACAACCAAACCCAACCCAGCCTAACCCAAGGCAAATCTAATCTCCGAACTCACATGAGGTTCCTGGCAGTACACCTGGTCCATGGACAGTCACTCCAAATGGTCGCCCGCCGATATTCAAAGCAAAGTAGTGGTCCCCAGTGGCTTTACGTATGCAGCGAATTCCATTGTACCAGTCACTGATGAAGATATAATTCTGTGCATGCAAAAACAAAAATTCAAACCAAAAAACCGAACCGGGGCATGAAATTCTAGCAAAATCCCTCAGCTAACAAGCATGCACATTTTAGACAGTACGGACAGAAACAAAATCCTTCAAATTTTCTTTTTTCGTTTATTGTTTATGACTAACCCAATGTAGAATTATTCATTCTTGAAAATAGTTCTAATATTTCATAACTGACTGGAAAGCAACAAGTAGTTATGCAGAAACCTTTCTTTTACCCCCTTTTGCAGTTCATAAAAGAACAGGAAGAGGCAACGTGTGACAACATTTTAACCATTTTCACTGTACAAATCTGATTCATGCAAAGTTGCAAAACATTAACCGTTTCTGACGCATCTACCGCAAGCAATTTCCAGAACAGGATTTTAGTGACTTTAATTCCAGCACAACTATTTCCCAGGAGTGTTTCCATTACCATGGGAACCCTGCTCCATACATTTTGACTGCAGGTGTTTATGAAATCTTTTAGGATTTTACATATAATTGGCAACAAGTTTCCATCAATCGCTGATTAATCAGAATATGTATTCCAGCTTAACGCTTCAAAACCAGTTTCGTCAATGAAATGGAGGACCGGCTACAGAAAAACTGGTTACCAATAACTGGCACAGTGTACGTAGACGTTTGACCATAACTGTACATGAACACACAAGGAAATACATGCAATGACTGATTTACTTCACAGATATTTGTCTTCAACCCGGCTACTTCCTTGTTATTGGAGAAATAAGTTCCTGTAGCTTGTGGTTTGTGGACTGGACCGTCGTTCTGGACTTGAGCAGAGTTGACTTGGGCAGAGTTTCCAATACAGGCACAGCAAACCATGCCGGCATGAGGGTATTAAACAACGGCAGTCTTTTTGGTTAAATTGAAACTGTCAAAGGCCTACAAGTGGTTCCGCGTATAGAGACAAAACCGCAGTCAGAGTTGCGAGGTCAGTTTTTAGAAGGGACCTGTGTACAGTATAAATCTTTCCAATGTTTGTGATGCATTATGGGATTAAATGACACACTTGCCGCACATTTTCTGGACAATTAGAGGGAAGAGGCTTCTACTTTATGACATAACTGAAATCAAGCCATCATTTTTTTCACACCATGTTACACTGCAGATTTGGGATGAAGTTATTAAACTTGAATTTTAAAGCTCACTAAAAAAAGACAATTTGAAGAATCTCTTCCATGATCGCCAGTTTCTGTCTTACACTATGATTGTGAATATTAATGAGCTAATATTGGCCAATCAGAATCAAGACTTGAAGCTCAGTAATCCCCAATGGACCAATTCCGTTCACTTTTCAGGCTATAGTGACTGATGTCCTTTTAAAAAGTCACTAAGGGTCATTTGTGGTTCTTACAAAATTGTGAAAATTTGCTTCTTATTTTCAAAATGTTTCTTGAATGCTACCCATCAATCTTGGACTTGATGAGCAAATATTTAAAAAATGTTCCGAAGAAATGATATATTGATCTTCGACTGGTTCACTGCCTCCACAGGTTCATGCATAAAATGCATAGTTTGATTGCCGTCCAATCCCATGAAGCAAAGAGAACGTTGAAAAGGTTCATTAATGAGCCATGCATGCGGATGACGACTGGCACAAACTGGCAGGGGGACCAGACTCACCTGGAAGACGGTAACGTCAAAGAAATGGCCCTGGTCGGGTGGATGAGAGTACAGGGTGGTGCGATTGGAGCCGTCCAGGTTGGATGACTCCAAGCGGCTGCCGGACGGGTCAGCGTCAGTCCAGTACAGCCTGTTGAGGGAGGGAGGTAAAACAAAAGCTGATGTTGAGGATAGGACTGGACTCAAGGAAAAGATCTGAACAGATTTGTTTGAGCATTGATCAGTGAATCAGAATAAAGCTCACTTGACGCTTTGATGACCCCTCTATTGCTGGCCCAAGACCAGATCTGAATGAGTGTTGATCAATAAATTTGAATAAACCTCACTTGACGCTTTGATGACCCCTCCATTGCTGGGTCAAGACCAGATCTGAATGAATGTTGATCAATAAATTTGAATTAACCTCACTTGACGCTTTGATGACCCCTCCATTGCTGGGTCAAGACCAGATCTGAATGAATGTTGATCAATAAATTTGAATTAACCTCACTTGACGCTTTGATGACCCCCTCCCCCATTGCTGGGCCAAGACCAGATCTGACTGAGCATTAATCAATAAATTTGAATTAACCTCACTTGACACTTTGATGACCCCCCTCGCCCACTGCTGGGCCAAGACCACAAGTAAAGAAAATTTTGAGATGAATCAGTTCTACCCTTATTCTGCCCTTATATGCCACAAAATTATCCACAAGACCATTTAAATATGAAATTTTTCAAATTCATGTCAAACTGAAAAAAACAAGTTGGAAGGGAATTTCACATTTGAAAGTTTATAAAGTTGACTTCTTCACATCCATTGTCAATTGAGGGCTGCAATGGCCGTTACGGTACTGTATGGTACCCAGAGCATTGTTGATCGATTCTACATCTACTCACCACAAGGTTCCCTACTATGCAACAATACAGTTTATATATTTGGTAAGGAGGCACCACAGCATTAGTATGTAACTAGTTTTAAGTTCTTCCCCAGAAACATTTCTATACGGTTAGATTTTTGTGTGAAGTCAATGCGACTGTGCCTGTTGATCTGGTGAGAAATTTGTCTGGATAATACATCTTTTTTGAGAAATATACCGGGTACACACTTAATAAACAGTATATAACTTTAAAAAATTCAGGGCAGGGTGAAAATCTGGGCAGACAGTGATGCGAAACGAAAAACTTATTTCACATGGAATTATTTTGCTATTAATTTTATCTTCAGGCTTGCAGTCCATAGTGCCTGCAATGCCTCTTGGAGAACCCTCGGAATTATTGCCAAAAACAAATCTCAAATCGTCATATTAATCACGCTGCACTTTACTTGTCTTCTGCATAGTCGATGGTAATTCCATTGGGGAAGTAAAGTCCCGTGTCTGCCAGTACCGTCCGATTTTCTCCGCTCAGAGTTGAGCGCTCTATGGTCTGTCTGGTACCCCAGTCGGTCCAGAACAAATAACTGCAGTCGCAAAGAAAAATGAGTACCAAATTAATGAGTTTTTAAATTAAGGAACTAAGCCTAGGCCGTTTTCCAATACTCAACTTCGTCTCCGTCCAAGGCTTCGTGTAGGAAACCAATCCCTGATTGTGGGCCTGAAGCGTTTAACTTAAATTAAAGTATTGTAATGTTTGGCTCTTTTGCATCTTACTTGATGTTTTGTGGCACTATCAGACTTACTATTGCGCTTACGACCTCAAAGTTGGGAAGTAAAAAAAACAGTTGAAACCTCAGACGGAGCCCAAGTCAAGTATTGGAAACGGCCCTTTACTAATATTTATCATGCTCATTGGCTGCCTTGGTAACCTCAGTCTTGCAAGAATAAAATTCAGTCATTGATACATACACGTACTTCAAATACAGTCCAGGTAACACGTAAAAATAAAGAGTGCAGCCTAGCGCTAGGCATAGAAGCCAAGCCCTAGGTTTGCTACCAAAACTGTAAGGGACCTACGAAATAATGTTAGGGCCTTAGGCCCATTGCAAATGTTGTGCTTATGCCATGTTGAATAAAATTGAATTGAGCCCTACGTTAGCATGGCGTAAGCATGGCTGTGGTTTCAAAAGCTGAATTCAATTTAAAAAGCCCAGTCGAACTTGAACAAATCAAACATGGTGGACCAGCACAACATGAAACGTGATTTTGTGATCTTTCGGTTCGAATAAAAAAGAAAACGACTTTAGCTTCATCTAAGCACTACTAGTAGGCCTACTTTATTTTTCAAAAAATAAAGGTCTTTTTATTCTCAAGGCCCGATGTTATGGTTCCCAGCAATCTTGAAGTGTAACATCACCCATGAGGTGAACAGTTCGATATCATTTAGGAGTCTCCTTCCAACATTCGGACATGATTTTTAGTCTCGAGGTCACCTTTGAATTTATGTTATTTCATATCAAGCAGGAATTTGAAAAAGAAATAGTTTAACTGAAACCCCAATCTCCCTCGAGCTCCGTCGAACAATCTGCCCCGTGCGTTTCAAGAAATTTCCATTTGTTAATGTGTTTGTTGACGATTATTTCTTAACTCTACTACACATTGTAAACACGTGCATTCCTAATTATCAACGAAGTTCAGGACCAACTTCGAATAGGCCTAGATATTGTATTGGACTCAGCAAGCGGGGCCAAGCGGGTCACGGCATGTCGCCATGTGGGGCAGCTTCACATGGCTGAGTTCTCCCACGTTTTCCTACCTCCATGGTTCTCCAAGCCAAGCAACAACCGATGTTACTCTGAATTTCAGGCACTCACGGAATTGAACACTTTCTTAGTCTTACCTCACAGAAAGTTCACGTTTTCTAAGACTTGTCTTCAAAAGAATAGAACGTCATGAGATATTAAGAAGAAGAGCAAGTTTAAACGCCTGTCTCGATTGGCGCTGGCGCGATTGATGGCGACCACCAGACTACACAGAGGAAAAAGTTCGCTTCTTTTTACATACAAGAATACCATAGAAGATGGGGTTTTAAACAAGTGGCAAATAGAGCCCTCTTGTGACCAATGAATATAATGATAGCAGGCGGTGCTTCGGCACTCAACTGGCCCCTCCCCCTGGGACGGGAGGGTGGGGATTTTAGCAGTTGAAAGGGTAGCAAGGAATCTTTGCTAGTCCAAACTTCCCAAACCCAACTTGTGATCATGAAACAATTATAACACTTGGGTGAGTCAAGCGAGTGCGCGGGATGGGATGTTGCGGGTGGGACTAACGAGCATGGAGGCGGAACCTGAATATCTTCTCACCCTAGCTGTGGATGCACGGCGACTCCCCGTGGCTTTTCAAGTCCATCGTCCACGACTATGTGGAACCACGTCATGTTGTAGTCCACAACCACTATCCAATTGTAGGCCGCGTCAGTCCAGTACACGTTGTTGGCCAGCCAATCAACTGCGATGCCTGGAAATAATTTGCATAGAAAATCAAGGGAAAGTAGGGATGCAGCCATTTCTAGATGATCAATCGAGTCCGTTCAACTTCATTTTCTTCTGGTGCAACCTTAGACATTTTCAGGTCGCCTTCGCTGTTTGTAAAATACAAAAACTTAAAAGACATTTAAGGGGAAAAAATGAAGGATGTTTTCATAACTGGAGAACATTTCACAGGTAAAACGTTTTCGGATAAGTTACAGATAATTAGAGGTCTTAATTGTGTTGTTTATTTTGTCTTCCTTTCTTATTTCCGAAAAAGAAACCAATGCTGGAGATGGCTGGTCCAAAATATATTAATCTCCCAAATAGGCTTTCTTGCTTCGCCATACTAGGCACAAATTATTGAAATCTATTTTATTGCCTGACAAGGCAAGTTAATGACTCAGCGACAGGAATGCCTTTCCACACCACTGCCATATTCGAAGTTCACGGTTCAGCGCATTTTCAGAACTTTTCTCTTGGAGTATTTCCTTGTTTACTCAAAATTAGGGAGTCCATTGAATCTCGCTACTGTGAATGCAGTGTCAAGTCTGGGCGAAAACGCGTCCCCTGGGGAATTCTCGGGCACTGCCCTCCTGTTTCGCAAGAAGGGATTTCCCGCAGTGCGTGTTTGTGAGCTAGCCGAGCGTAATGTAAATGCAGCGTGTTGATCTTGAACTGCTTGGCCCCTACGATGGTGTTTATATTGATACCTTTGTTGGGAAAGGTCGGTTCCAACAACATTTCAGACGGAGTTTCCTCATACCTTTGTTGAAATGCCAACATGCCTGACCGTCCTTACGTTTACAAGAACTTCAACGCATTGATAAGGTTGCCATAAACTTGAACACAAATAACCTATATTGTACACTGCAATTAAAATTGTCACCAAACATTCATTTTATAACCATGTATATATATTTTCAGTTTTCGATCCTTATGTCTTTTCGTGTGCTTTATTCCTTTATTAAAAGTCATTATAATGCGCCTTTGATAATGCCAATATAGCAGACCCAATATACCATGAAATACACCCAAAGACTGAAATACGTCCCTGGTATTAATACGCAAGAACAGCTGGAATGATTATCATGTTAAATCTGCTTACGGGCTGATCTTTTACTTGCCACGATCGATGATATTAAAACGCCCGTAGCCTCGGGTAATACTAGAAAAAAAGGATAAACAACAGCTTCTGTTGCATTCCCTGTGGTCTGTCTCTAATGATGAATACAAAGCAAAAGGCATGAAGTAGAAAACAACGCTGCGTTTTTTCCCCCGTGGTACATTATGATATTCCCAGGTGCATCGCGATGCTGCTTTATCGGCGACTCACCTGCAGTGTGAAAGTATTCATACACGCTATCAAGAACCGACATGGGTGAAGAACAAAACGCGCAGAGAGCGAAATCAGTCGCAAGTATTTTGCAAGCTATTTGGGGCTGATAACCCACTAGGCCTACTCATTGGACTTTTTACCTTTTATGCCAGTGTAGTGTTAAATTTCGACTCTCAAAAGTTGGACTCATTTGCATTATTACGAGCGCCTCGATTGGGCGAAGGCAAAAGACTGTGTAGTCGCATGGCTTTGTGATATTGGGACCACTGAGACTCGTGGAAATCAAAATACAAGTGGCTCAAGGTGCAATAACAGCATTATGAAGATGATCCCCAAGCCGTGAACGCATTTGTAATATGTGCAAGATAGTCGCTTCATTCATGAGAGCGGACGGGAGTTTTAGCTTGCACGTCTACGAAGATGGTCCCTGGATGTTATTATACAAGCGCATGAATGTTGTAAAACGAGACTGGAGGCCATTAAATTAATGAGCTTGAAGGTTGAGGTCGGTCATTCACCATGCATGTACAGCCCAACGTTTCCACCCGGGATCCAATGCCTTTCCCTAGTTCGATGCGCGGCTAGCTGTGCAGCTTTCCCTACAAGGTGCTGGAGCGTCAACTTCATTAGCCCACTCAGTGCAATTTTCTTAATGTGTACCCGTATGTTCCGTCTAATTTCATTGTACGTTTCGGGTAGATTGTTGTTATTGTTGCGCATGCTCAGTAGGAGTACTATAGTCGAAACCATCAACGGACAGGGGTGTGAGTAGCCAGTTAAAATCAAAGCCGAAAACAGCTAGCAAAAAAACTGAAATGTTAAAAGTTGTACAGACCAGGCGTACAAAAAAACTGACATCCAGGATCAACATCTGAACAAAAAAACCCTGAAATCAGCTGAAAAGCTGAATTCTCACACCCCTGAAGGGATCAGACACGAGGCCATTCACACGACCAGTCCAATCCAAAAAGAAACGAAGTAAAATGATGCTTTTGTTGCAGTAGAGAAAACCTGTGACTTTCATTCTGGATGGGTCTTGAGGGTCTGGCGGTGGTCTGAAGAGGTCTCAACTTAGACAGTGACAACCAGCGATGTCAAGTCAGACACGCAGAAGTTTCACTCAAGATTTGTATTTTTGTGCTTTCTGTTCCCAATTCGCGGCTCGCTGCTCAACTTAACCTTTCGTATACACAAAGTTTACAAAACGACCCCCCAAAAAGCATTGAATGGAATGAAATTACCAGACTGTAAGGAATAACAATGGAGACATTCAATTTAGCATTTCGGGGTTTAAATTGGGGATTTTTCCTTTGTAAGGGTGAAAATCGCAATTTCTTTTCACTATGAATGGAACATTCGTTTCGCTTGAAAACACCACTGTCCACTGTAACTCGCACGCACTCCAAAACACTCGTCAAAAGTTTTTTTAAAAAATTCTACGACGTCCTTGGAATATTGGCATTATTGGCAGGTTTGACGTCAAATCCTTTTCGACGATGGGAATTTCCTGAAATAGGCTAGATCAGGTCATTTTGTTTCCTCCCAAAAGAAAACATTTACATGAGCACTGTTCGGCTTCTAAAGAATGAATAACGTGGCATGATAATGTGTGACATACAAAACTGTGAAAAATCTTTTCCTTTTTTTTCATTTCCATACATATTTTTACGTTCGGTTTTTCAATGATATTAGCGCCCAATCTATGGACGTTTCTCCTGGAGTTATATAATTAATTTTTTACATGTGTCGAATTTAAAATAAAACTTTGACGTGATACGAAATTTCACATCTCGTAACGAGGCACAAAATTTGCCTTGTGTGAAGCCCTCCATCTCGGCCTCCTGTATCCCCCAAGCTCTGCCTAATTTTCTAATACTCCCGAATCTGGAGTTTCAGCTCAATTACAAGAATAATTTTGTACACCATCGACCGTAAGAGTGAACTTTTACTTTTAATTCGAACGCTTATAGCCAACCAGCCGTTTTGAGGTCTGAAGCGAGGCTTACTTGTGCTCAGTGCAACTGATCAATTAAAATTCACTTTACATCATGTCAACATGCACCACTCCGACATTTCACGCAAGTGGATTATTCATAATGCGGTCTGCAAAACCTTCCGCATTTCGTCGAATGCATGTTCAAGTGTTCAACTCCTCAATAAACGGTCTCGCACGTGGTTCTTTTTCTATCTTAACACGCACATTTAGCTCTTTTACAGAATGCTGTCCAAATGCTCATCGACGCAACAGATGTCTAACCTCGTTCTCGAAAAAGAAGGAAAATCGAAGTGATTGGCTGTAACAAAAAATAATCTCATTGACTCAAGCACGGTCCGATTTTTAAGTTGTACGTTTTTTGTCATGTTCAATGCCAGTTTGCTAGTGCGCAAACTCACATTCAACACGTGCCCGATGAACGGCAATCTTCAACAGTTTTGAACATATTTTTGTCTGTTGCTTTTTACAAATTATTATTTGAGGTCTTTGCTTGTTGCGAAAGCCATGATTACGAACAAGGTCAGTTTCCCAAGCGGACGCCTAGACGACGGAAACCAAGATTAAGTTATTTAAAGGTATATCTGCGGTTCAGGTTATGGGCAAAATAATGGGTTACACAAGGCTGTGGACTGAACAGCAGACAAGATAACAGAATTTATCTTGAATTCTAGGACAGATGTTTGACCAGGGGCGGTTCCAGATCCATGGGGGGGGGGGCTTAGACCCATTACACGTGACGTTACGTTTCAACTTTTGCTACTGTTCTGTCAGGAATTCTTTTTAATGTTAAGTCTGAGAATGTGCTCCGTACACCAAGTGTCATCTAGTTGTGGCTGAAACAGAAAAGTCGCCCGACTTACCGTCAACCGTGGACGACGTGCCCTCGAATATTCCCGAGGCCGTGGCGTTTTCTCGAAGGCCCCCTTTCATGATTCGCTTGTGGTTGGCGTCACTCCAGAAGGCAACCCCGTCGTCGTAATCGCTGGCGATCGCGATCCAGTGCGCGGGGGTGAGCTCGTAGTAGTACTTGGAGGCAATCACCTGCGGGATGGTACGCAGAACGGTGAGGGACATTGTCGCTGTCGTCTGTCATGCATTGTGGTGATTCTAATGTTTACCTTGGCCTCGTCATCGCCGTTTTCAGTATTCCAATTGGGTCGTTTCACAATAGTGCGCCTCCAAGAGTTTGCAACGTGTTAGCCAATCACAATGCGCGAAACTTGTTGACCAAATGCACGTTTCGAAAGGGTCGACAAATTTCGAGCGTTGTGATTGGCCAACGCGTTACAAATTCTTGGAGTTGCACTATTGTGAAATGCCCGTATTGCCATTTCATTTCTTGAACAATATCTACTTTCACTCTCTCAGACTTTAGCAAGTCTAAAACAGTTGCTTTTGAAAAAGACCTTAGTTTTACGTCCTGTCACCAATCACAGACGTCGTTAGATTGTCACTCACATCAGTAAAAACGAAACACAGGGAACCCAGGGAAACAAAGACAGGCCGGATTAGAAGTCATCGACAGATGTGAAAGATCAAGAAAATCCATTGCAACACTTTCTCACCGAGCTGGTGATGTATTCGTCCGGATCGGCGGGCAGGCTTTGGATGCGGGCCCGGCGGTCCACTATCCGGAGCTCGGTCCACACCAGGCGGGGTTGTTGCTGCTGGCCTGCAGACGAACCGACTCCCGCGTCCTGCCCCATGCCTGTGGTCCAAACATTGCTACCGGTATTAAAAACTGCATATAATACTTTGAACCAAAAATCACTAAAATAAAACTTTTTAAATATTACCATTTTGTACACTCGGTGGAAAATACCTAAATTTTCAGAATGCAAAGAAGAGACAAGATTATCAATATCTTATTGTAAGAACTCTCAGTTTTATTTGTTTGGCGAATGCCTTCTTTTTTTTTCTACCGTGCTTCAGGTGTATACGGGTTCTATGGGCCTAGGGCCCAGAAAACTTTGGGGTTTGGAGTTTGGGGGTATTTGTCAGAAAATTTTGAAGGGTTTAACTTGAAGTCTCATCTTATCAAGCTTTTTTGAAAACCAGAGTAAAGTTTTCCTTTTGTGTCGCAATGAAAATGGGACTTTAAGAGACTAAGCTCGGCATTTCGCTCGTGCCCACGGGGAATCCGAGAACGCTGGTGGCCTCTCTCGGAATTTTTGGGAAGGAAACGCAGGTGTTGCAGAGCATTGTGGGTGCCTTGCTGATATACATCAATGTGCACAGACATTCCAGGTGGAAGTGTTGACCACTGCTTGGGATTACCGGCTGTGACAAAATCTATTCGCTAGTCACCCAGCGCCTACATGGGGCGCTGGGAAAGGCAAATGCGCTTCACCAAATTTCGTGAAGGACATAGGTCTACGTCACAGACATGAATTGCTGTTGCAATCGAGGCATGTGTTTGCAGTGCGCACGTGTCACGCGCACATGAAAAGACCTCTAATGAGTGTTTGATAAAATATTACGTCACTGGGCGACGAGCGGACAAAATCTTTCTTTGGAAACTGAAAGCTCACTACCACCATTTAAAAAAGGAGTGGGTACCAGGGAAGCTCGATAGCTCAGACAGTTGAGCAGGGGAACAGCATTCCATGAGTCGCCAGTTCGAATTCCTCTTCCGTCAATTTTGTTCTGTTCGACCTAGAAATTAGCTTCAGTGCCCGAGTAATATTCAGCTCACATAACCCGCACTGTCCAAACAATGGAATCTAATTATCATGTTGGCAGGATGCCATGTCTAGGCGTATTTCGTCTCACATCCTAAAATCCAAGATCATCGGCCAACAGATGATCCATATTTGCTCTTCAACCAATCATAGACAGCTCGCCAAGTCTTCATTTCACACGTCCCTCGATAAATCGCAGACCGCGATTCCGGGACAAGGGTCGGCGTCGCATACAAACAACGTGCAATTTTTCAGTTTAGAATTGAATAACACATAGGCCTAATGGGTCCATGTACGTTTCATTCATTCGTTTACGATTTGAAAACGAAAATCAAACAACCCAAAAACAACTTGTTTGTCCGTTTTTAGCTTTGAAAACGAAAAATGGAAATCGACAAATAAGTCGTTCCTCGTTTTTCGATGTGAAAACAAAAAATGAAACAGAAAAAAATCGTTTCTCGCCTTTCATTTGAAAACAAAACGGTAATCAATTTATTTTTTTCCGTTTTTCAAAGTGAAAACGAACAACAGCGTAATCTATTGCTCCAAGTATCAAAAACAGTTCCATTTTTCATTGTGTAATATAAGAAGCGTCTTTGTACGTCATGAAATCAAACATGGCTGAACCAGAGGAATACCAAGAATTTGTTGCTTCTCAAAGACAAAGGAGGAGCAACTCACAGGGAAATTTCTCAAAAGCAACTTGCTCAAAGACAATTTTTATCTCGCTCAGAGACGTCCGTGACACCTCCTCGAAATGACGTGGGATTCATTGGGATTAAAATATAAAGCAAGGTAACTTTTGTTTTTCGTTTTCAACAGGGAAAACAAGAAACGTCTTCTTCGTCTTTTTCCTCGTTTTTTGTTTCAAATCGATAACGGAAAACGACTTGTTTCTTGTTTTTGATTTTCTTTCAAATCGAAAAACTAAAAACGACCCGTGTTTGGTTGTGGGATATTCGTTTTAATGTGAAACCGAATGAACGAAACGTACACGGACCCTAATGCTGATCAAAATTACAAGCTGCAGACTCGGTTCAAAACATGAAGACGTGGATGTCAGATTGGAATCTACAAACAGCCTAATTTTTGTGAGTTAAATTGATAAAATCTGGCACAACGATTGCCAGCAAACGTAGAAATCTGAATTCCCCAGACTAAAGACACTGTTGCTATATCTCGTGATTCGGGCAAGCTTTTGCATAGCGACCACCATCTCTGGAATGGACTGGTTCCTTTGTATCCTACTTACCCACTAAAAACATGACTGGTGCAAGGCGTCTTTAACTAAGCAAAAACTTGCCCCGAATCACGAGGTGTTATACCCAGCAAGGAATGAGACCGAGGGGTACCCCCCCAACATGTCCAATCCCTATACACAGTCCAGACTGTTGTTACTTAACAACCCCCCCCATGTCTGAAAGGAATTCCCCAGATTCCTGCGAGATAATGACCAACACAAAGCAGGGGGGGTTCTCTCCGTCTCATACCTTTCTGCATATGTGAGGTGTGGCAACAGTGTCTCTAACATGGCGAATTCAAGATATGTTCACGTGAAATTAAAAGAACTCAGTGTACCAGATTTCTATCAAATTTAACTCGCAAAAGGCTGCTGGGGAAAAAAAGGTAAAAATCAACAAAGCAGCTTCAGGAGTTATTTCAAAGATGGATTTGCGCCGGGAAGATGTAAATTAATTTTGGATTTGCCCTGCCCGACGTGTATTTAACGCTGAGTGCTCAATGTGTCCCCGAGGGCTTGTGAAAAAACCCGCAAGCGTACTTGGGTGGGACTCGAACCCACGACCCCCTGCTTACTAGTGCAGACGTCTTAACCACTCGACCACCGAACTTGCCGGTGCTGGCTACCTGGTTCGAATCGAATCTAGCAGAGGGTACCGCAAACAATCATTTCAAAGATGGATTTGCGCCGCGGAGATGTAAATAAATTTTGGATTTGCCCTTTAAAAAAATTAATTCAGATTCAGGAGCGTAACTAAGGGCGTATGTCACTAGATTAAAGAATGCAACGGGCGGGAGAATTTGAAAAGAAATCGGAAAAACAATTATGGAAACAAACATGAAGCCCAATGAAATGCAAATTCGAGGCGATGAAAACCAGATTGAGGAAAACAGTCAGAGTCGAAAATAACGTATTCTGATATTAATGACGTTTCTGTGGCCTAGTTTTGTGATTCAACCCAAAAGAACCAAAGTCATCGCGGAATGGGCTTCACCTGTATTTGTATATCAGGTACCTTCAATGAACCCTTTTAGGAGGGCAAAGTTCAGAAGGATATCTGATGGTCGTAATACTTTTGCTTTCAATTTGATGTTCCTCGATTAAGAAGTTTATGACAAAGCAAAGCCGGAAATGGAAGCTTAAACCACGACCTCCTATATCCATTGCGTCTCCCTCCACAGATTTTTTTTCATCCATCAAACTCATATTTTGTCATAACTCTAAACTTTACCTCGTCAAACCTCGCATATACATCTTCCATAATTACTCCCAAAATGAAAAATAAAATTAAATATCGACTCAAACCTTTGTGCGTGTGTGTTTGAAGAACTTACAAACTGCCCTCTTAAAAATAAATAATTCTGAACATTTAGGGCCAACCCAAACAGGAAATGTTTGCAGCTGCTAAGACACGCCTGTTAGTCGAATCTCATAAGTAGCCGTTTCCGGCCGTATACTTTACAGCTTTCACAGTGACCATAACGTGATAGTAAAACAGAAAGCCGTAGCCACAAGACACCTTATTCGGACAAGGCCTGCTGTAGTTAACACTGGACCAAAGTATAGCGTTAGAACATACTATCGTCCGCCAAAATGGAACTACCCATCCCAATAACCATCTTGGATCACTGTCACTTTTCTGCACCTTTAAGTCCGTTCCATTCATTGGTTCAGCACACTATCTTAATGCAAAAAGGAGTGAACAAACTGCGAAGTTCATGACCCCTTATAAAAAGGGTGGAAATCAATTCACTTACAGAGTGGGCTTCCATAGTAGTAATGACAAACAGAATGTAATCTTTCTTTTAAAAAATGGAATGGTGACTCTTGAAACGTTCAACATCGCAAGAACTTGCACAAAAATTGATGTTATTAGCCAAGCGTGCATGTGCTTAAGGTATTACAGCTTTGCGTGGAACCGGACGGAGCTAAGAAATGCCTCATTACACTACACACTAGACAGTACTAATGGAACATGGTGCCGATTTGCACGCATCGTGCACGACGGAATTTCGATCAACACGAGTAACTTCCCGTTTGTGCCACTGAGGCGGGCTTACGGGCATAACAAATTCGTCGGGCGACCTGTTGGTTGCAACTTGACAAACGATGCGAACCAAATCGGGCCTACGGGTTAGAGTATGCCCTGTGGGTGCTTCAGGAATTCCTGAAAAGGTAGTCGAAAAATTCTGCTCACACCAGAACGTGACACATTAAGAGGGCACCACGTTCGGCTGGAGAAGAAACAATCATGATTGTCGCCTTGGAAGAAAGGTAATGAAAGGGTGGGGGCGGGGCCAATGGGCCAGTCCACCCCCCTCCACCAAGGCCACGGCCTAACAGAAAAAAAAACGACTTCTTGCTCACGATTAAGCGTGTCCTGTTTCCTCGGAAAATTGTGTTTAGCCTTGACCACAAAAAAAGTCAAGAACTTGGAATGCTTCTTCCATGCGTCCAAAGATTACGCATGAGACGGGTATCCGTGACAAAGGAGGGCGGGGTGGAATACGTAATGCGGGCACATAGCCTAGTATGGATTCGACTAGAAAAGTGTGCCTAGTGTATGACGAAGTTTCTTGCTCCGTCCACGAGGAACGCCTGACCCATGTCATGTGATCCCCAAGTTCAGTGAAATAAAAAGGAAATTCACATCATGAAGCGAACCCCTTGGGGGGGTAACCGATCACAGGTGCACAGCTGTATCGGGCGATGCACCTGTAGAGCATTGTCCCAGCGCGCAGCCACTGAGAAAAGCAAAGCAGTGAAGAAGGAGACTTACACATGGATCCAGCAGCAACCAGGAGTAACAGAATGATTCCTATGACCGCGGAGCGCTGTGGACGCGAACCGTCGACGTGATCGAGTCCAGACTGCTGCGCCATCTTGCGTCACAGCTGGTGATATTCGACGGAGGACTGCAGCACGCGGAGTCTCACTGTAAAACTATTGAGCGCTCCCTCTCACACTCTGTAGTTAAGTGCCAAGGTCATATCATCTACCACCAGCAGAACTGCGCCTGTCCTATTGCCCTGGCGTGCCCATTGTTTGCTGTAGCAGTGACACATACTTGTACAATACCCGCGCCCGGAACATAACCACCAGGGCCAGTACCGTGTGGGATTGCTCTCCAAACCGGATGCAGGGTGATGTTCCAACTGCAACACGCAGACTCGAGATTATACTTCCGGGTTAGCAGGAAGGGTATTTCCTCTTCTTGCCATTCGAGCGCTAGTGGATCAAATTTAAAGGCTAAACACCTCACAAACATAAATAATTATGTTTACCAAAGCATCCTTTTCCCGAATTCTTATTTTCTGTATAATTTCTTTCCTCGTTTAATGACATGCATAAAGTCTAATGTTTGTTCTTCCTGCAATTACCATCCACAAACAAACCCGATCCATTTACGATGTACTGAATATCAGAGCCATGTGGAAAACAAGGAATTCAACTCGCTGTATTAGCTATAAAACTGGGATTTCAAGACTGCCTTCAGTTTCTGACAAAACAATAGATGTTTTTCCCCAGTTGTTTTTTTTATGTAATTAGGGTCACAGACGGGTGGGCAGTATATGTTGAGAAGTTTGGGAACCAACCCTAGATAACGAGAAACCTGTTTTAAAATGCAGCATTCGTGAATATACATGCCTCAGTATCCTCAGTGATCAGAACAGTAGGCCTGCAGACAAAATAAATTACTCTACTTCGCGAGTGGTTTCAATCATATTTTACTAATTGGAGCACACCTTTTGTATTGCTGCTTGGGCTCGCGATAGACCGACGGCCTGTCGACCAATCGTGGGTGGCGCACAAAGCGAAAAGTCTCACATGCACGCGAGCGTGACGCGCGCGGCGGCAACATCATCAAGTGCTGTGCAGCGTTGGTGAGAAGTTGTGTACATAAAGGGTTTCGGCAAGCATGTTAAGAACGTGGCTTTGAGAAAGGGGTGTTAACAGATACGCGTATTTTGATCTCTGATATCATTTTTGTAAATGCTTGTGGCCACAGCGATGAAAACATCGTGTTCGCACAGTCTTTGATAAAAAAAATTTAACTATTTGCAGGCTGTTCTGATTTACGAACTCCTAACAAATTAAGCATTTGCTAGCTTTGACAAAAATAATATTCCCCTCTCTATCAGTGAAAGAAAGAGAAAGCTGGTTTGTTTCATCCATCCAGTGTTTACATTTTTTTCGAGCTACGTGGCTACTTTGAACTGCATTTCTTTAATTTATAGCACTGCGCTCCGGTGAAGGTCACACTACAGTCTCCTTTGGAAAGTTCAGCTGTGGTCGTCCGTACCATATACCAGTATTTGTCTGCAGTGAACTGCTTCGGAAGGGAGGCCAAAACCGTGCATGCGATATCATTTCCTTCTGTTCAAGGAAACATGGACAGAAATAACTAGTTATAGCCCTGTGCTCTTCAAGTAGGCCGTGCAACAGAGCCACGCTGTATATTTCCACTGCCGATGTTTGTATAATCACGGGAATATGGGAAAACAATGTCATGATGGTGTAACTTTCGGTTCGATAATTATATCCACTTGGAGAAAGTTACAACAATCTCATTAGTGACACGCTGGCGAGAATGCTTGGAATATCAACTTTGTGGACACTAATGATGAGCATATGTGAATGTCGACAGATTTTGCGTGACACGCCTCTTAGTCATGGGACTTGGGCTTGTCAATTCCCACCTCTTTTTGTCATGTGCCCGTATCCATTCATAAAACCTCATGAAGCGTATCGCTATATTTAATAATTCAGTCAAACCTGAACACTTCAGGTCCAACAATTAGCGCTGAGTGCATCTTGTATAGGCCTATCCATAAATGTATCGAAAGGATCATTCTAGTTCTTTAAAGCTTAAACTAGTCTATATGATAAATTCAAGAATTGTTTTGACAACTTTTCATTTTTGTGTCTCTCACACCCAACGCTTAATTTCAAGTTCATTGCATTTTGTATATTTTTATTCCATGTAGTTTTTTTTCTGTGTTGGTTTGCTATCCTCTTGCAGTTATATGTTGCATTCTCTATCTGCTTTGGGCATTCATTACACTTGGGCCAAGAAGGCAGAACTCGATCGAGCATAATGTATGCCGCGTGTGCCTATTTCTATTGCGCCACCTAGTGACTTCATTTTACCAATCGACGGCTCGTTCTGTCTACCGTCTTGGGAATCTCCTACAACCGAGGCGTGGCCTTCGTATGCAAAATAGTTGTTTCATACGAATATTCAGAATTCACCATATGATACAAAATTGGATAAAAACAGACCGTGGGAGCGTTGTTATTTCTTTAGTTTTGTTATAGGAAGTCTTCTACAAGCTTACTTCTTCACTCCTTGTTTCAATGCATCGACCGCGGCCATTATCAACGGTGACATTACTGGTACTTTAAATTTTAGCGTCCTTTTAGGCTGTAGCAGCGCTTGTATATATGTCACGAAATCTGTCATCTGATGCAGGTCATTGATCCATATTCATCATATACGGGTTCAACTAGAAATTTCTCAGGCGCTGAATGGTTCCTCCGGAAATCCGGAGGAAAAGCAAAGAAAAGGTTGAACAGTTTGTAGGCGATTCCCAAGACAGTAGAACGAGCCGTCGATTGGTGAACTAAAGTCACAAGAGGGCGTAATAGAAATCAGCGCGCGCGGCATTTTTTATGCTCGATCGAGTCTGCCATCGAGTTCTGCCGTTTTGACCCAGGACTAGGCCTTCATTTCTATTCAGCTTGTCTTTTTGTTCCTCGTGTTTTTTCTATTTGCTCGCTTTTGTCTTTTGTTGTTTGGTCCAGCCTCGCCAAATTCTGACACACGTTTCATCCCTGGGATGTCTGGCCACTGGGCTAATGTCCCCTTAAATTCAGCACAGGCTCCTTCCACTCTAAAAACACCTGGGACAAATTAGGATCCCTTTTTGGTCATATTTGACCCAGAAAGTAGTAACTTGTGGGAGAAGGAATCTCCACAAACCAGCCATACAACAACTTTCGTTGTCTTTTAATTAGATTATGCAAAATTTACCACTGACAAATTTGCCAACTCGTGCAACAATTTGTTGTACACATTAATGTTCAGACATGAGGAGTTCGCGCAGTTAAAAGCCAACCATTTTGATATTTTCGGGAGACACCCTAAATAATTGAATGAATAATCGTAATTACTTAGATGAATAAAGACATCTAACAGACTGGAGATACCCGTCGGGCCCCAGTGATCAGCGATCATAGATATTATGTTTCCGATTTTCTCGAGTTACATGAGTTAAGTAAAAGAAGATGCAAGATTGTGGAATGTATGCAGCTCGATGAGCCCTTCAGTTTTTTATTTTTCTCAAATTATTGAAAATCTTTAAATTCAGTTATAAATACTATTAAAATTACTTAAAATCTTTTGGAGTTAAATTAATGTACTCATCCGCATTGTGACGACCCCTTTTCCCATGCTTTATTAAAACCATTCGGATTTGCAAATATGTCTCCTTTTGTATTTGTGATCTTTGAGTCTATTAGAAATAAACTTTTTTTCATGCGTATGAGCGGGCGAAGTAGCATGGAAAAAGTTTTGTTTGTCTAAGATTCTGCGCAACCCACGTCCATTTTGTAGGTCGTGCAACTAGACAATATTTACAAGCTGTGTTGACAATGTTCTACCACGATAGGACCAATTAATAAATGAATGACAAACAAGCCATGCGTTTTGTGCATAAATCAATGACAGAAAGGAACCAGCCAAACACTAATCAATATTTTCTTCAAAATTTTGTTCAATACTCATTCATCAAGCTACAGGTGGATACATGCAGTGTACAAGATTGTTTTTAATTAAAACTCAAAAGCTTATGAGAAACACATGCCCTCAACTGTCATTTTTTTCGGGGGCAACCGATCACAAGACTGAAAAGGTACGCTAATGGCCAATGCGTGATGGCTGAACTTCAAATCTTGATTTTAGTCGGCCAAATATATCTGATTGATATTCACGATCATAGACCAAGACCGATGCTATTAAGCTTTAAAAATTAATGTTTGTGAATAACGTTATCACAATTATTCATAAGATAGTGCAAGAAGAGGATGACTTGATTCGGATTATTTCTTGAAGTGGCAACTAATGTTTTGCTAGGACACTTTCTGCAGAGGATAGAGTGTAAAATACATTGCTTGTCTGTCTAATGCGGAAAAGACTCATTAGCAAGTACGTATATTTTGAGTCGTTGGTCAATCCACAGAAGGTACAATGTACGGTAACTTTGTGCATTTATACGGAAGCCGACAGATTCCCCCTTCCTCTTTCAAGTGAATTCTGATCTGACCCTGGACAGTCTATGGTGGTGATGGCTGATGAGTTTGTGACAGTTGGCGTCTTTTATCGTTGACAATGGTGAATGTGATTGAGGTGTTCGTTTCCTGGGCAGTGAGCACAGTATAAACATGACAAAAGACAGAATAATCAACCTCTGTCAATCAGGCATTACCACACAATAAATAAAGATTTAAATGAACTGAAGGCTCGTTTAAATACATTTTAGTCTATAGTGTAGTAATGCCTGACCCCAGAAGGAGTGCGGCAAGGTTCGCAATTCTGTATTATATGCCCACCGGAGTGCGCACGCAGCGAATTTGGAGAAGCAAAATCTAAAGTTGCTGCAATAAGCCATATGCGAGTTAAATTTGAATAAAATCTGGTACAATGAGTTCTTTAGATTCACGTGAACATAACTATTTGAGTTCTCCATACTAAAGACACTGCTATACCTCGTGATTCGGGGCCATCTTTTGCCTTGTACCAACACACTGTTTCAATGGGTAAGAAGGGCACAACGGAACCAGTCCGTTCCAGAGATGGTGGTCGCCGTGCAAAAGCTTGTCCAGAATCATGAGGTATAGCAACGGTGTCTTTAGTCTGGGAAAAATGTTATGTTTACGTGAATTTAAAGAACTCGGTGTACCAGATTTTTAACTCGCAACAGGCTTATTTCGCTGCCACCCCCACTGCAACGGGGAATCCCCTTTTCCCGTGTATTTAAAGAGGGCGCTGTGCACACCCTCTGTTCAGGGTAGTTAATACAGAGAGAGCCACGGACGTATCTAAAAAACCCTTGACTTGCAACGCCTTTTTCTGAAATACAAGCCAACCAGCGGCCATTTTACCGAGCCAAATACAAATGCGCGGGTTGGCTCGCTTCTATTAACGCCAGGGAGAACAAAGGCGGGTATTGCCGGGCAAGCTTTATAGTCGGCTCGGTAAAAGGGCCGCTAGTGGATTCAATGATCTCTATAAGCTGATTAAGAGCATTGCGAGTCCAGATTTTTTTTATATACGTCCATGGGAGGGAGCCGAGACATGAGTGTCACCATTGTTGGAAACAAAGTGGTAGGTGCATGCGCCAGTGCGCACGGACAGTTGGTATACGGTAGCGCAGGCTCTGCAGTACGGTACACCCAATGAACAGCCATTCTGTTTCCAAAATCTGAGGCTGGCACAGTGGCACTCGTCTCTCGAGGGCACTGCTCTTTCTATTCACAGTTCTTCCTCTGCTAGTTCGTGCCCTGTTTGTTTCCCAGACCAGTCGCTGTTGCGATGGTAACGTGGTTGTGACAGTTGCCATAGCGACGTATACACGACCGACCAAGAGCACTTAACACCATTTACACTCCGTTGGTGTATGGTGTAGGCCCTATACATGCGCAAAGCGTAACTAACCATGGCAACTCGGGTCTCGCCGAGGATGGGGCAAGCTCTGCTGTGTGAGTTGCGAATAGGTTGATCGTGTACGTGACAGCTGCGCTTTGTCAGTTTTTGCCTCAACATGTACATTTAATGTGCCCCATTACTTTTACAAATGGCCGTATTTTCATTTGGTGCTTTAAAAAAAAGTAGCTGCTTCACTTGGTGAATTATTCTTTTCCTTTTGTGTTGGCAGTCAGTCACATTTTGTGTTAGCGATTTGTAGGCAAAACGACGACTCCGGGGCACACAGAGGCAAGAGCACATCCGGTTCGGCAATGATGCACACGAAGATTCTGAGTGTGTTAATTAATCACTGGCTGTGGCCCTCCAAATCTGACATGACTGTTTCCGATATGCGTACATCCCTGGGGATACTTACCGGCCACTTGACCTTTCATTGCAACACAGGCCCATGATTCTACAAGCTCCTGGCATCGATTTGGTCGCCCAGTATTGTGCAAACACAGCGCGGACAATCCTGGCACAATCAGTCAGAAAAGGGATGGTGTGGGGATATTTATATTGGGCCACTTTGTTTCACACGGATCTCGATTGCGATCAGTGATCCCGGAGCTGGTTCGCGCTATCCATTAGGCGGGTTCTGGTGACAGTGAACCAACGACAGATCACTGATCGCGACCCGGATCCGCGTGAAACAAACAGGTTCAATTGTGTGTGTCTGTTCGGAGGCTATCTTGAAGTTATCCTGCGAACAAACTTTTTGGTTTGCCAAGAATTGCCGGAAGTTCTCTCTCATGCACACATGCAGGTCTGAGGTCTGAAAAGTTATGTTTTCTGTCCTCATCTGGCGTGACAACTCCCCCCCCCACACACACACCCAGACACAGAAATCAGTCTGAATTGATAATTATCCGACATTGTGTCGACTTATGTTATTTCGAAATTAACACCGAAGGAATGAGACTATCATGATAAGCAATCAGAGAATATATTGTGAAATATGGAGCAATCGTTGCGCATATGCGCGAAAACGAAAACGCGTGCTTCTGTGTAGGCAAAAGCACGCTGAATGCATCCTATCTGCATGAAGTTGTCGCGGACACCACGACCTGTCACCTGCGTCATTGTCAGGCATCACTGCTCGGAAGGCATCATTCCCTGATGTAGGTGCAAAGTGTGTAAAAAAAACAGATTTAGTCCTTTTTGCCTCGATCTTAGGAAATCACCCGGGACAAATGCATGGCGGGTAAAGAGTCAGATAAACAAACATCATTAACAACGAAAGAAAACACCTACACCTGGGCACAACGTGAACAAGAAGGCAATCAGGATTTGACGCACGTTTGGCTTGCATGTCGTGGATTTTTGTTATGCCGAAATGTCGTGGATTGTTATCAAGGTCATATCCCCCTGCGCTGTGTGCACGTAGAGTCGGCGTACGTTGGCTGTCTCAACCCTTCCTCGTCACGGATCGCTGGTACTGTTTCCACGCAACTGCTTTATCACACGTCGCTACGAGTACGAGTTCATTATGTGGACCGAGTGACTGTCCCCCAGTGCCAACACAAGCAAAGCCTGTTCTTGTTGAGCCCGGGGATCGGTTTCTGCGGGTCTTTCAACAGTCACGAGTGTGGGGTGGTCGGATGACACGTTAAACCTGTTGCACTCGGCGCCAGCATACATTTCAGGCAGCGACTATTGTCGATGTATTACGTTGCATGAAATGGAATAATGGTTAGTCGAACCGAAACGGCAGCGGGAAAGTAAGGCTTCATTTCGCCTCGATCCTATTCTTCAACGAGGGATCATGGAATGCCGCACGGTGAATTACTGAGAAATTTCCCTTGAAACAATAATATTGTCGGTACGTCTGCATGCGATGGCGGCTGGCGGACCCGCGAGCGCGGCCCGCGGTCCCCCGCCCGGGCTGGCCTTCAATCTGGACGAGTGGGTACCGTGCGTGGCTTACCTGGGCCACACCGACCAGAGAGAGACGAACACGGTCACGAATGCCGACCTCGCCCGGGTGGTCGCTAAGCTGTATGGTCGCCATGAACTTGACCACGGAGCTATCATGGGTCAGATGCCCACAACAACAGAGGTAGGCCTTCGTTTACCGATGCTTGCCCTTTATTCGCATGTTCAGGTTTGTCCGTTCTCTCATAAAATTGTATTATTTTGCCTTGAAGTGCGCTATAATGTGATTAACCCTAACAGTCCTCAATCCTTCACCTGTTGGAGGACTGAGGACTGTTAGGGTTAATTAGTTAAATTTTTAAAATCTAATTTCCATCTGTCCATTTGTCTGTTCGTCTATTTATTGCAATTTCATGTTTTTTGTAAAATAGAATGATTAAAGATGAATGCAGTTGGTTTTCAAGATGTCTGTGAGTGAATGATGTTAAATGGTACGATTTTTTTACAAATTGGAAATTTAGAGTGTAATGTATTTTAAGAGAATTGCTTCGAGATTTTCATTTCTTCCAGTTTCAAGTATATTATTGTGTCGAGTTACAAGCGGCAGACTTGTCACCCATTCCTTAAAATCCTAGTCCTGTGCATTGGCTTCCTGAGATGTGAGAGTTCCTATTACAGAAACGAATATTACATCAGATGCTTCCGTCTGACAAAATATTTTCCATAAAAAGATTGGGTGTCGCGCCCAACACCAGACATGGATTGTATTCTATACTCATAGACACAGAGAGGACAGTATACGTGCCAATTATAACAAAAAGACGTGCACGGGCGGTGTGTCGTGTAAATGTTGCCCTGCCAACTGCACCGTAGCATTAATTGACCTTTTAAGATGCCCTCTTTTGCGAGAAAACTTCCCTATAGCGTTGTTTTCTCGCCACTAATTCTAACAAGCATCGTCGACCACACAAAACTCATCAACTAATTATTCGGCGCGCTGCTCTCGAGTTTGGCATACAATTGTGTTTTTGTTTTGCCTTCAGTACCTCATTTACATGACATTGGGTCTTTGAAAAGTGCTACCTGTCGCCTTGGTGATACTCGCATGAAAGCACACGAATCGATAGTACGTAGCAGTGCTACTCTAAAAATAGAACAGTAAATTTATGAACCTGAATTAGACAACCTACATATGCATTAGGCCTACGCACTTAAAAACGTGTGACATTTACTGCACAGCCATTGTTACAAAATGGAAGGTCCTCGGTTCTCCTGAATACTTTTCTGAAACAAACATGTACTTCATCGGGTAGAAACTGAAAACTGAAATAATTATAATGCATGCGCCGGTGTAGGATTTGATCCGAGGACATTCGAATTCGGTTGGAAAGTATACGAAGTACACACAAAAACATGCATGTATAATGCGAACACTACAATGTGTTTGGGTACACATTACATTCAGACCGAGGACAACAACACAAAAGAGAATAATTGAGGGCATTTGTTGCCAAGGTTTTCTTAGACGTCAAATTGTTTAAGTTAGTAAGGTTTGTTCACAGAAACTACACAGGTCCTCGATGTTTCGTGTTGTCACGAGTAAACCATTGTGTCAAGTCCTCAGTCGATCCTGTAGGTTTTCGAGAATAACAAGACTTTAACTCAATTCCTTGTTTTGTTTGACTCCTTCCATCGGCTGTGTTTTGTAAACCAACATGTTAGACAAGGCCTATGTAGGTCCTACCGGTAATCAGTCTTGAGGCAGTAAGGAATTCATCTCGCGTTGTTTTAAACTTGATGTGGCAGAAACACTGAACACTTTTGCACAACAAAGCATGTCCAACGCTGACTTTGAGGATTATCTATCGTTCATCTGTGATTCATCTGTCGCTCTTAATCATTCCGTAAATTGTCTTCTACTTATGCAGGTGTATGTTAAAGTTGTGCCTCCAGGACTCATTTTAAGGGTCATCAATACCTCTCTATCCCACCGGGCGAGCGACGGTCCCCGTGAGGGCATCAGAGAGTTCTTCGAGACTGTCCGTATAGCGAGATGCTCCGCCAATCACGAGCCGTGCACCCACGCTCTAGTCTGGGTCTACAACCGCCGGCCGTCGCTCGGTGGGACCGTGGACGGACTGGTGGAGTGCCACGGCGTGGTGTGCCGTGACCTGCGGGACGCCACCAGGCTGGCCAACACGCTGGCCATGGCGTTCTACGAGATGCGTCAGCAATCCGTCGCCATCGGGAACGCCTTTGGCGCCGTGGGTGGCGCGGTGAGCATGTCTGGGCTGATGTGGAGCATGCCAGGGGAACTGCCACCGGCCTACACGCCCGTTACCGGCGATGGAGCCCCTGAGCCGCGGGCAATGCGGGGCAGAAGCCGCGGCAGCAGGCAGATGCGAGTTCTGGAGGTGGCCACTGTCCACCGCGAGGACGACTGTGATGAGGATTCCGGACTGGACCCGAGCCCCAGGTCGACTGGTTCCCCGAGCTCGCGAGAGGCTACCCCACGAAACGCCACTGGAGGCATGAGGAATTCCACCGTGTCGCTGCACTCAACCGTCGCCATCTCCGAGGGCAGGTCTCCACGCGGACGGCGGCCCGGTGGCTTGCCGGACGTTTCTGCAGACGACTCTTGGGGAAGCCGTGTCGAGTAAGTCCAGAATATCGAAAGATTCATGTCCTGGGCACTCCTGAACGCACTGGGTACAAACTTACATGCCAATCGAAACTTGTATCGAACTAGCCCATAGTAACCTTATAATACACTGCACTATAGCTGGTTACATTTTTATGCACGTTCGAACATTCCCCCGTGGTTCGAGCGACAAAATATGCACAAAATATATCCAGGACCCATGCAAACTCACCCGACTAGTACACGTATTCACAAATGGTCGTCGCTCGAACTTGAACGAGGACGTTTTGCGTTGAGCGCAGTTCTTTACTGAGTCACCTGTGTTCACAAATGGGTAACTGCGGCAGTGTCAAGTCGCTAACCTGCCGTTTTAACGCCGTTCATTTGATGTGTGGGGTGTTCGATTTTTTTCACTGGCCGTGGACCATGTTTTGGGCTATAACAAATGCCTTTCCAAACTAGTTTGATTAGTCCGTAACAAGTAGGATATCGTGATCTACACGTTTATGCTTTGCAATGTTTGACTCGGTCAAAACAAGCAGTTTTAATGTCATTTTTAAAGATTTCAGGTTTCTGTAGTTCTGATCAACTGTATGCCATCTGACGTCTCAAAATGGTGTTGATATGAGCTTCCCTACCGTCCTGTGTGTTTCAGCGCTGTTATCTGGTTGTTTGATACAAATTTATGGCCGTGTCTTTGAAAAAAAATACTTGTAATTATAGAGTTCGGCATGGCGCTGAAGCGTTTTCTGAAATGGCGCTTGCAGTGGCTGCAGACCAGAGCAGGTACTGTTCGTGAAGCAGTCGGTGAAATGTGAGGGATGGACTTTGCTCGCAAGGCGAACGTCCATGAAACATGCGCGAGACTCTATATTACCTACTACATAGTTGATTTTGTAAAAAAATTACTCAGAATTTTTATTTTCTCGTGCTTATATTAAGTTGGATGCAACGCAGTATGTACGTCCTACTGAATGTAACTAATTGAGCTTTAAATATATACTTTATATATACAGTAATGCTAAATTATATAAATATGTTAAATTTATACACATTTACACAGATTTATCAAACTTAAAATTACTATGTTTCTATGGCACATATAAGAACTGAAGGTTTGAAGTTAATGGTTGATTTATCAATTGCATTGTATGATTAATTTGTACTCGGAGAATCCTCAGAAAATGTCCATGAACGTATTCTTTAAAGTTTTCTTTTCCAACAAACAGTAAGAACCGTCGAGCAAAATTAATAATACATGTATATGATAAGAGCGCCTTTTATAATGGCCACAATAGGACGTCATAGTGCTCGGCTTAGCATGCGCGTGAAAGCACATTGATGCGGCCATATAGGTAAATGTGAACATTTTAAGGCAACAGCTATGTTGCCAATAAAGGGGGGTAACTTCCTGTAAGGTTGGCCTCCCATACAAATGGTAGACAGTAGGCCTAAAGGAAAGGTGCCTACAGCACAGTATTCAGCAGTAATCAAACGACCCGGATGGCGTGTCGTGTTAACCTTTGCATCGTCATGATGGCTTTTTCGTGTATCGTTGCTTGGAAACCGCGAGCCTCTTTCATAACACAACAGATCCGGATCTTTTTTTCCCCATGACTGCCCAGGGTTTTCCCCTTTATAGAATTCAACGCGAGGTTTATTGCCAAGACCTTCCTGGTCTCCTTGTTGTGCTAAAGTTCCATTGTGGACTCTTCAGTCAGTGTACCCGGAAAAAAATAATGCAGTGCATTATTTGAATTTTGCTTGTATTTCGTGTTGTGCGCGACCACTGCATCGTATTACACATGCGCACTTGTCATGCAATTCAGCCTGCAATATGTGCGGTTAGCTCTTTCAAGCACTGCCAAACTTGGATTAAAACAGCAAACTTTTGGCACCCTTTGAAATGAGGTACAGTTTGTCCTTCACTAATGTGATGCGAACTTCAGAAGTTTTGCCCGGTTCGTAAAGTGCGCCTCCTATTGACAAAATATTTCCCGCTTTGAACAGCGCTGTCATGAAAATGTCGAAAAGATGTGACACATAACACTGATCATGCGTTCTATCTTGTAACTGGGGGAATCTCTAGAGAGTGCTAAATTTCAGGCTACTTTGCCTCCGTAAATGGAGTGGTTAACCTAGCCTTTGAAAATAATTGGGTGGCTACTTCGCCTTAGAAAATAAATTTTAAAAATTGAAGTCTCTTTTTGTGTGTTTTTCTTTATCCAAGTTTTTTCTTTTCCAAACTAAAGTAAATGAATTTTTATATCAAAAGGAAAATAAATAGACCACCTGGGTAACAAATAAAATAAGATATGAAAAGAAGCGCCGCCGCTGTAGCTTACCAGAATATATTAGCTGTATGCTACTGCCAAACAACCCGGTTCACCGCAGCGACTAACGCGAAGAAAAAATGATAAAACTTAACAACCGGAATCACCCAGAAGGAAGCGCAGGAACTCGGAGTAGTGGAGCGACCGCTTGTGACCATCAGCCACGCAGGAAGGAATGAGAGAGAGAGCCTCCTGCGTCGTATTTTGTAATCCCTGACCAGGACAATGTCCCTGACGTCAAAGCAAAATAGCAGGAAGAAGGGCGGATCCAGGGGCCGGGGTGGGGCTCACCTACCAAAAAAGCAGCATATGTCTAGTTTGAAATTTGAGAGAAAGACCCTTTAAGGTGTGCAAAAAAAAACCCCAAAATGTGTCCCCACACCTCGGAAAGGCCATAAGAAGTTACATTACAAAATTTCAAACATTTGAGCTTGAAAAGGTATAGGTTAATTACCTCTTCAGACAAGGACAAATAACGATAGCATTGCTGACACACGTCATTTCCATCAACACGCGGCAAGTTTCTTTACTGCTATTCGCACTCTCTTTTCGCACTCCAGGTTCGAGTTTGGGCGGCCTGTTCTTGACACGGGTTTCTTGTTCTCGCGCGCGAACGGCGGGAACACGACTCAAGAACACTGTTCTCGGAACAGGATCACACACCAACCCCTCGTCAGGATTTTACAGGAGCACACGGAAAAACT